TCGGCTCCGATCACAGCCGTCCCGCCGCCGGGTCAGCCGAGCCCTCAACACTTGCCCTCGGGACCTGGCTCGCCGCAGCCGCCGCCGCCCGGCCTGCTGGGGCGCCCACTCAGAGGCGGCCGGGGGGCGCAACGGGCCGGGCGAGGCTCCAGAAGTGACCCATTTCAGTCCCGTCCCCCAGGGCGGGCACGGGGTCCCCGCGGGGCTCGGGGACCAGCCCGCCCTTCCGAGGCCCTGCCCACGGCCCGCCCCGCCGTCGCCTCCCGCGGCTCTCGGACTGGGTACACACGACCTTTGAAAAGTAAACGCGTCTGGGGCCGGGCGACCTTGGGTGGGACGCGCCCGCCTCTGCCTCGCCGCCGGCTGTGCACGCTCGGGGAAAGTTAAGGCGCAGAGGGGCGCCTCGGACGTCGCCTCCTCGTCCCCTGCCCGCGAGGTCGGGGACGCGCGCAGGACGGCCCCGAGCCGTGCACACGCGATCTGTCAGCAGGAGCCCGCGGGCAGGCAACCCCGCGCGGGTGGCAGGCGAGGGGAAGAAGGGCCTGCCTGACAGCGGGTGGCGTCCGGAGCACCTCCCGGGGCCCCCGGAGCGCGCGTGGCACCCTGCACCTGACGCTGGGCTTCCCCTTCACCCCGACGGCGTCCCCTTCAGCAGTCTGGCAGGGGCCCCCGGGCCAGCAGCCTCAGGCGGCCCTAACTTACCAGTCCTCGGTCACCGTCGGGGTGCAGAGTCCTCGCACCGCCGCTGCCCTGAGGCCCCCCCTCCCCCGTCTCGCCCCGCGGTGCAGCCCCTCAGCGCTCCGCTCGGGCCGCTCCCCCACGTGCTCGCCCAGGCCGGTGGAACACAGAGACATTAAATACTGAGGACGCGCAGCGACGTGCCCGCGGCGCGACGCAAGCCCCGCCCCTCGCCCTCGTGCCCCCGCGCCCTCGCTCCCGCCAGGCCCGCTCGCTCACCTGCGCGTGCGCGCCGCCGGCCGCTCGCGCCCGGGCCTCTCCGCGCGTCTCCCAGCTGCGCCAGAGGGGGCGCGGTCTGGCGCGCTCGATGAACATCCCGCCGCCGCCCGGAGCTGGTTCTCGCTGGTGCTCTCGCGAGAGGAGCTGTAATCCCGGCGGAACGTGAAGAGGGGGCGGGGCTGGGGCGCTTAGAAGCCGCGGAAGCTCGAGGCTGTGGAGCTTTACCGCAGGGTGCCTTGTCCCGCTCTGGCTCTCTCTCTTTCGAGGGGTGGGCTAGGCCACCTCCAGCCTTGGGGCACGGAGACCTCCTCTCATCGGGAAGACGGAGGGGGCCGGGGTCCCTTTGCTTCGGTAATGCATGATTAGGTAGCTGTTCATAATTGCTCAATAATAACTGCTTAAGGGTACCACTCTAATGCAACTTTCTTGCCGATTTTCGCAATTTGATGATGTCGAAGTGAAATACTTTCCTCCAAATGGATTTGGGTTTTGGAAAGATTCCTACCACGAGATAGCCACCATGAGTCACTGGCCCCACCGGGAAATTGGGCAAAGAATTCGCCTCAGACCAGGGAATAGGGTGGAGTCCTGCCTGACCAGCAGGGCTCTTGTCTTTAGGACAAAGGGACTTTAAGTGAGCCTTCCACTGGGCGACATTTAGAAAAGAGATCTTGCTAGGAGCTGCTCTTCCGTAGTGAGCAAATGCAAATTGAAATGACAATGAGCCTCAATGGTATCTCTAGAAAGTAGCATAACACCTCTGGAGTGTTAATATGAATTCAGATGTATGAATGCCACTTGCTTGGTGTGATAGGTGCCAATGAGAAAGCAAGCAGGAAGCTGAAATAGAGAAATGACCAAGGTCCTGTTTTAAGTCCTGTGGTTAGAAAAAGCCCATGGTGAGATTTAAACAGAGACCCATTAGAGCAGGTGAAGCCAGCCTTGCCAGTTGTCCTCACAGAAGACTATGGACAGAGTTGAGGGACTGTTGCTGACAGAGGCACAACACAGGCAAATGCAAGAAACAGCTCCTGGTGAACTGGAAGTTCAGTGTGGATGGGTTACAGCGAGGGGTTCGTGCTAGACACAGTGTTGTTTGTTTGTTTGTTTGTTTGTTTTGACAGGCAGAGTGGACAGTGAGATAGAGAGAGAAAGGTCTTCCTTTGCCGTTGGTTCACCCTCCAATGGCTGCCCTGGCCGGCGCACTGCGGCCGGTGCACCGCGCTGATCCGAAGCCAGGAGCCAGGTGCTTCTCCTGGTCTCCCATGGGGTGCAGGGCCCAAGCACTTGGGCCATCCTCCACTGCCTTCCCAGGCCACAGCAGAGAGCTGGCCTGGAAGAGGGGCAACCGGGACAGAATCCGGTGTCCCGACCGGGACTAGAACCCCATGTGCCGGGGCAGCTAGGTGGAGGATTAGCCTAGTGAGCCGCGGCGCTGACCCACAGTGTTATTTTTGTGGTGGTTTGGTTTTCTTTCATTTTTGGATTTCTTTTTATGTAGTAGGTGGAGCCTGGTCCACCTTATAAACCATAGGAGGGCTTGGATTCTAATATCTCCCCTCTGCCTCCAAAGCCAGTCATGATTCCACCTCAGGGCCTTCGGACTTGCTGGAACAGTCCACAGAGCTTACTCCCTCATGTTTTCTTTTCTTTTTTTTTTTTTTTAAGATTTTATTTATTTATTTGAGAGGTAGAGTTACAGACAGTGAGAGAGAGAGACAGAGAGAAAAGTCTTCTGTCCGATGGTTCACTTCCCAAATGGCTGCAATGGCCAGAGCTGTGCCGCTCTGGAGCCAGGAGCCAAGAGCTTCTTCCGGTCTCCTACATGGGTGCAGGGGCCCAAGCACTTGGGCCATCTTCTACTGCCTTCCCAGGCCGTAGCAGAGAGCTGGATCAGAAGAGGAGCAGCTGGGACTAGAACCGGCGCCCATATGGGCTGCCGGTGCCACAGGCGGAGGATTAACCTACTGTGCCATGATGCCGGCCCCACTCCCTCATGTTTCAAGTCTCGGGGAAGCCTTCCCTGAATTCTCTAAAATTATAACCACACACGCATACACACACACACGCACACACACGCACGCACACACACCCGCACACACGCGCACACACACTCCAGCCCTCACCCTTTCTTTGTCTTCATAGCCAATATCATTATCTCTTTTATACTTAATTTATTTTATGAGGGCAGGGATATTGAGGGTCTGGTACATAAGAGGATGCTCCGTAAAAATGTGTTTAGTGAATGAATGGGAAGTCATTAACCCATTATGTCACAAGTTTTTAATTCTGTGAATGTTGCAATGACATTGACACAAGTACGTTAAAAATAAGTTGGAAATCATATTCTAGAACTTTCATATCATTAAGAATGAAAATACAGATTGCCCTATAAATAGGACACTGGCACAATATAGGATCTTTAACATAGCTATGCTGTCCTATAAATAGGACATTGGGGGGGCCGGCGCCGTGGCTCACTTGGTTAATCCTCCACCTGCGGCGCCAGCATCCCGTATGGGCGCCGGGTTCTTGTCCCGGCTGCTCCCCTTCCAGTCTAGCTCTCTGCTGTGGCCCGGGAAGGCAGTCGAGGATGGCCCAGGTGCTTGGGTGCCTGCCTGCACCCGCGTGGGAGACAGGGCGGTGGGGGGGTAGTTCCGGCTGTAGTGGCCATTTGGGGGGTGAACGAACGGAGGGAGGACCTTTCTCTGTTTCTTTCTCACTGTAACTCTACCTCTCAAATAAATAAATAAAATCTTTTAAAAAAAATAGGACATTGGGGGAATAGTGCACATACACAATATATACAAAGAAGTAATTTTCATGACTTGTTCAACAACTATTTTTGGTGGAGAGGAACAGAACACTTTGAACAAAGGGTTTGACAATACATTGTTGGTTTAGTGTGGCATAACTTGTTTTGAAATTGTTCTTAGCGTGTGAGAATACTGTGGCCTCTCGTGTCAGATCTGCTATCACCTTGGACAGTTGTGGGTCCAGGAGTATTCATGTTTTCTTCTCCTGATGGTTTTTCATTGCATCATTTTAGGTAAACCAAGCAGATGTCTCTTTTGAAATCCAACAAATGTATGAGCTCTTTCTTGCCTTTGTTCACAAATTTGTGAATAATAAATGCATTTACAGTACACATATCAATTATTCCAGTTAACTAAGGCCAATACCATTTTTTGCCTTTAAATAAAATGGAATATTTGGAAACCAACCAATCATGTTTATCCACACTGCCACTGAAAATGTTAAGGATGCCCAGTACCTTTGTTTGAAGCACCTTGGTTCTCCTCTTAATTTCTTTTTTCTGCCTTTGAATGTAGTCAAATGGTTCCCCTATACGGTAGTTCACTACAACAATGACACATTTATTATCTAACCCTTTTATAATGAGAATTTCATTGTTTTTGTCAAATCTAATCATACGCCCCTCCTGCTTGTTTCCTCATCATTGTTCTTGGTTTCCCAGGGCACTGATTTAGTCTGTTTTCCCTCATGTTGCCTGTAGTCTAGAATCTAGTATTCAAAGATGTACCAACAAGTCAAACCAGTGAATAGATTGTTGGAAAAAATAGTGTGATTATTTAAGCATTTGTAGAACTATCTTACTCCCAAGCACAGGTCACAGCTTGCCAACAAAAAACTCACAAGTAGCAACATGTTAGAGTTTGTCAGATAGCAGTGCAGGATGCTACACATGACTATGCAGCCAGTATACATTGCCCAGCGTCCTATTTATTCAAACATTGATAATTTGAAACACAGTTCATTCCTTGAAATAAAAAGCAACCTAGTCCTACAAACAATTTTCATGAATGTATTTCTTATATTACATCAGTTATGTACATGATCTTTAGTGGAATATTTAGTAAAAGTACTTTTTGCAGTAAAGTTTATGCCATCTTTATATTGAATTTAAAAATATTTTCAGCATCTCTACTCTTTCACCTACTACTTTTCTCAAAAGAATAGAAGTCTTAAAAACATATTTGAAAGTTACAAGTGGTATAGTCATTGCTCAACTTAAATTTTCGTAGGTGTCCTATTTATAGGCTTATGGGACATGAAGAGTTAATAAAAGTTAAATAGAGATGACACAATAGAGTTTCTGTTTTTAGAAGCAAGCTGCAGCTGCCATGGGAAGAATGAATTACTAGGAGAGCAGCATAGAGGCAGGGAGACCAAGTCAGAGAAAGGAAGCTGACCTGAGCTAAGGGCAATGGCCTGGCCACGAAGACACTGCTTGCGACTCAAGATATATTTTGGAAAAAGAGCAACAGAAGTCACCTGTGTTGCTGGGGTAAAGAGAAGGTAACAATGAACGACGAGGATTCCTCTGGCTTGAGCTCCTGTATGAACCTGGGTACAGTTTACCTAGAAGGGGGAAGGGGCAGAGAACACTATGAACCTGGAGCTCAGGGGAGTAGTCTGGGTGTGAAATACAAATATATATTAAAAATCATGTAAGAAGCAACATTTGAAAGAAAGACAATGCTTGGTGGTGGTGAAGGTAGGGAAGAGAAGAAATGGAGAAAATGATACCCACAGGGTAAACTCTGGAAGCATTGGTAGAAAAGAAATTCGGAGAGAGGGAGGGAGGAGAGAAGGAAAATGAGTCTTGTAATATGGTTATGAGAAGAAAGGATGCAGAGCGGAGGCCAGTGAGACCAGCCATGTACAACACACAGGGAACATGGGCAAGGCCTGCCAGGAGAAAGAATGAGTGGGTTGGCTGGTATACTTGGGGAAGTGGGAGATACAAATCGAAGTGGAATTTTGGAGAAAACAGGATTAAGTATATGTAATCACAGCCAGAGCTCAACCAGGTAGCTGTGGCTGAAGGAGTGGCTACAAGGTCAGGGCGGTTCATAAAGGTGACCCTATAATAAGGTCAGAAAGTAGAGGAATGAGAAGGGAGATGAGGGTGGAAGAACTTGGCCATAGCCTCTCTGCTTTTCCCTATTTGATGGCTACATCTTCTCTTGTAGTGCTAGCTGTGTCCCTGATACATGGTGGTGACAGCTGGCCTTGTGGCACAGCACATTAAGCTGCTGCCTGCGACACTGACCCAGCATCCCATATGCATGCCTGCTCCAGCCCCGGCTGCTCTGCTTCTGATTCAGCTCCCTGCTAAGGCACCTGGGAAAGCAGCCAAAGATGGCCCAGGCACTTGGGCCCCTGGTATACATGTGAGAAGCCCTGATGGAGTTCCAGGCTCCTGGTTTCAGCCTGGCCCATACCTGGCCTTGGTGGCCAATTTGGAGAGTGAACCAGCCAATAGAAGATCTTTCTGTCTATGTCTTACCCGCTCTCCCTCTGTAACTCTGCCTTTCAAATAAATAAAATCAATTTAAAAAGAGAAAGAGAGAGAGATACTCATGTGAAGACAGGGAGACACAGAGAGAGTTGGACTGATGCATCTACAGCCAAGGAATGCCAATAATTTCCAGCCAACAACCAGAAGCTGGGAAGAGGCATTGAAGATTACCCTACAGATTTCAGAGGGAACATGGCCCTGCTAACACCTTGACTTTGGACTTCTTCCCTCCAGAGCAGAGACAATTAGTTCCTGTTGTTTTGCTCACCCTGCTTGTAGAACTTTGTCACAGCAGTCCTAGGAAACTGACATTGTGCCCTTAGACCATGGGCAGTTGGTCAGTGGGAACATGATGTCATTCAGGAGATGATAAAAGGGGATACCTCCTGTCTCTCCTCTGGACCCAAAGTCTATGGCTGGACAGGTTAGGGGCCCAACCAAGTGGCCATAATGAAGGATCCTTGAATACCTACTACCCAGGCTTTGGCAGCATTACCACCACATACTTCTTAGAGTTTGTTTCAAATACATACGTGTGTGTGTGTGTGTGTGTGTGTATTTAACATATGTTTATTTGAAAGCCAGAGACAGAAGGAGAGAGAGAGCAAACGAGAGATCGTCCATCTGCTGGTTCACTCCCCAGATGGCTGCAACAGCCAGGACTGGACCAGGTCAAAACCAGGAGCCTGGAACTTCATATAGGTCTCCTATGTGGATGGCAGGGACCCAAGTACTTAGGCCATCATCTGCAGCCTCCCAGGTACACTAGCTGGGAGCTGGATCAGAAGCAGAGAAGCTGGGACTGGAATCAGGCATTCCTATATGGTTTATGGGCATCCCAAGCAGCTGCTTAACCTGCTATGCCACAACATCTACCCTTTTAGCTGTAGGTTTAAGATCTTAATTCTGGGGGCCGGCGATGTAGGCGCACTGGGTTAATGCCCTGACCTGAAGCGCCGGCATCCCATATGGGTGCCGGTTCTAGCCCTGGCTGCTCCTCTTCCGATCCAGCTCTCTGCTATGGCCTGGGATAGCAGTGGAGGATGGCCCAAGTCCTTGGGCCCCTGCACCCATGTGGGAGACCCGGAAGAATCTCCTGGCTCCTGGCTTCGGATCAGTGCAGCTCTGGCTGTTGCGGCCATCTGGGGAGTGAACCAGCAGATGGAAGACCTATCTCTCTGTCTCTGCCTCTCTCTGTAACTCTGTCTTTCAAATAAATAAAAAATGAAAATAAAAAGATCTTAATTCTGACTCTGTTCAGTGGGTGGCTGGCAGGATATGGCGAGCCATTTCCCAAAACCCTTCCACTTGCCCAAGCTTCTTCCTGTGGCAGTTAAATCTAGAACTGTTGTGAGCCTTCTGTGGGTGAGATTTATTTGTTTATATGTGGGTGTGCCATATTTATTTGTTAGCTCACTTACCTTTCTATAAACCACTGCAATTGAAATAGATGGAAAGAGCAAGATCCAGAAGTCTTGTCCCTGGGGAGAAGACATTTGGACAAAGTGACCTACCGCTAGGAGTAATGGCACTGAGTACATAGCAATATGTGAGCTCAGACATTGCACCACCAAAATTTTCCATTGTCCCCAACACACACACACATACATGCACACACACACATGCACACACACACAGAGGACCAATTTTCTGAAACCATTTTTTGCCCTACCTTTCTAAAACCTGTAAAATGTCTTTCTCCCTCCCTCCCTCCTTCCCTCCTTTGTTCCTTCCTCCACCCTTCCTTCCTGTTTCCTTTCTCTTTTATTTCTTTCTACTGTTGGAAAGGCAGAGAGATAGACAGACAAAGAGATTTTCCATTTGTTGGTTCACTCCCCAAGTGCCCACAACAGTTAGGGCTGGGCCAGACTGAAGCCAGGAGCCTGGACTCAAACCATGGCTCTGTGTGGGTGGCAGAGAACCAAGTACTTGAGCCATTGCTGCTACCTCTCAAGGTATGCATTAACAGGAAGTTGGGTCAGAAGTAGAGCATCCAAGACTTACACCAGGCACTCCAATGTGGGATGCAGGTGTCCCAAGCATCAACTTTACTGCTACACCACACTAAGTCTCTTAGTAACCTCTGTCTTCTGTTTGATCAGACATATCAGTTTCCCACAGACTAGTATACTCCACTTAGGACTGTCACTAGCCCACGCAGTGCCAATATTCAAATTAGGCAGCAAGTGTCTCTTACCCCAGATAAGCACAGTGCTGTGGCAGCCCCGTTGGTGAGCAAAGTGTGGTAGCACAGCCTGGATTTCAGGGTCCACTTCCCCGGGTTGGATGCCCACATGCAGGGCACAATCTGTACCACTCTCTGCATTCCAGCAGTGGAGAATGAGTCCCAGCAGAGCTAGTGCTGTCTACCATGACTCAGCCAACCAAGCAGACCTCTTAGGATTTAGTGCACCACACAGCAATGACTTTTCCAAAGCCTAAGGTATTGCCTTGTCCAGCACAGATACAAAATTGCTTGGTGATAACCCTAGAACTTATAGCAGGCCAATTGCATATTGGTTAAGAAAGTGGACTCTGAGGGCCAGCACTGTGGTGCAGCAGGCTGAGCTGCTGTCTACAGAGCCAGCATCCCATGTGGGTGCCAGTTCAATTCCCAGCTGTTCCATTTCTGATCCAGCTCCCTGCTGATGCATCTGGGAAACAAGTAGCAGATGGCCCAAATCCTTGGGCCCCTGCACCCATGTGGGAGAACTTGAGGAAGCCCCTGGCTCCTAGCTTTAGCCTGGCCCAGCCCCAGCCATTGCAACCACTTGGGGAGTGAACCAGCAGATGAAAGATTTCTCTCTCTGTGTCTCTCCTCTCTCTCTGTAACTCTGTCTCAGATAAAGAAATCTGGGCATATGAATTAATCCAACCACTTTGAACTGCAAATTGATAAAATCTAGTACAGTTAAGGATATACATGTTATAGATCTGCCTTAGGGGAATTGCATTCAGATATCCGTTGGAATGTTTATGATAGCAAGAATATAATTTTGGGGGTCAGCGCTGTGGCATAGATAGTTAAGCCTCTACCTACAGTGCCAGCATCCCATAGGTGTACCAGTTCAAGTCCTGGATGCTCCACTTCTGATCCAGCTCCCTGCTAATGCACCTGAGAAAGCAGTGAAAAATGGCCTCAGTACTTGGGCCATTGCACAAGTGGGAGACCCAGAAGAAGCTCCTGGCTCTTGGATTCAGCCTGGCCCAGCCCCAACCATTGCAGCCATGTGGGAAGTAAACCAGTGGATGGAGGATCTCACTCTCTGTCTCTCTCTCCTTCTCTCTCTCTGTATCTCTGCCTTTCAAATAAATAAATAAATAAATCTTTGCAAAAAATAAATAACAAAAATAAATAAAATAAATTTTTGGAAACAATTTAATGTCCATCAATGGATGAATGACTACAGTATGGCATATTTCTACATTAGAATGCTATGTACAATACTATAAAAATCTATTTTTTAATTTTACTTGAGAAGTAGAGAAATAGAGATTCAAACAGATATCTGTAATCCACTGGTTCACTGTTCAAATGCCTGCAATAGTTATGTCTGAGTCAGGCTTAAGCCAGGAGCCCAGAACTGAATCCAAGTCTCCCACATAGATGACAGAGACCCAAATACTTGAGCTGTCACCTTCTGCCTCCCAGGGTGCACATGACAAGAAGCTTGAATGGGAAGCAAAGCCAAGACACAGACCCAGGCACTCTGATTTGTAATGGGAGTTTCCCAAGTGCTGATTTAACCACTGTGCAAAATACCCTCCCTACTATGCCATTTTGTATAAGAGACCTGGGCAGCTGCAGAATTTGATAACTATGGGTAGTCCTGGAATGAGTGCCCCGGGATACCAAGGGATATATACATATACATATATATACATATACATATATGACATATGAATGATACATACATATATGTATACATACATAAATATATACATATGTAACATGACATGTATAAATGTATATATACATATTTGTCAGAGTGTACAGGGGACTTCTACTGAAGCTGTATTTTTTATTCCTTTAAAGACAGTATAAAATTTGAAGCAAATATGAAAAGTGAAGACTGAGGGAAGCAGGTATACAAAGGTAAGAAACAGCTACATCTCTATGGTTATTTGTGTGGTTGAAGTGTTACACAATAAAATTTTTTCTCTTTGTAAAGTGAGGCTTTTGTCATCAGACTGCTCCTGGTTGAATCTGCTGCCCCATGGCAGTGTAATCTCAAGCAAGTTACGTAACTTCTCAGCTTCCTCATTGGTACACAAGGATAGTAAGACCTACTCATGGGGTTGTTGTGGAGATTAAATGAGATAATCTATGTAAAATACTTTGGACAGTGCTGAGTAAATAAATCCTTTTACTCTCTTTCAAATGCTTTCACCAATGAATCAAAGCAAGTTAAAATTTACCCAACAAATATTTATTAGACACCTGCTTTGTGCCAGGCCTTGTGCAAGAGGCTATGGTTGCCAAGGTGAATTACGCCCAGTCTGCTGGGAAGGCAGAGACACACAGGAGGGAAGGCCAAGTGCAGTGGCTCTGACTGTGACGGGGAACCCTAGGCAGCAAGAGAGGGTAAGAGGCAGCGGGTTTCGTTCTGTTTGGTGGGGGCAAGGAAGGACTGAACATATTGTTGGTGGTCTGTCTCTGCATTTGGTACTCACCACTAAAAATATGATTGCCTCAGTTATCTTTGTTGCATAATAACCTTAACACTGAATGGCTTTTAAAACAACATCAATTGTTTGTTAGCTCATCAGAGATATCTGTGCTCTACATGTTGTCACCTGGGTGGCTGGACTGCAGATGGAGGATCCAAGACAAAACATTCACATGTCTAGTGCCCTCAGCTCTGATGGCCAGAAAGGCAGGGGAGCTGGCAGGCATTTCTTTCTTCTTATGGTCTCTCTAGAAGGGGTACTGAGTCTCTTTACATAGTGGCTCAAGTCTCCAAGAGGATAAAAGCTGATGCTGCTAGGCCTCTTAATACCCAGGCCCAGAACTTGTGCTTCAGTCTTATCAGTCAAAAAAAAAAAAAAAGTCACCAGAGGCAGGCATTGTTACCCAGCAGGTTAAGCTTGCAAAGCCAGCATCTCACAGAGGAGTGCCTGGGTTCAAGTCCTAGCTACTTTGCTTCGATCCAGCTCCCTGCTAATGTGCCTGGGAAGGCAGCAGATGATGGCCAAAATACTTGGGTCCCTGCCACCCACATAGGAGACCTAGATGGAGTTCCAGGCTCTGGACTTTGATCTGTCCCAGCTCTGCTTGTTGGGGGCATTTATGGAGTGAACTAGAGGATGGAAGATCTCTCTCACTCTTTCTCTGTCTTTCCCTGTCTCTCTGTCACTCTGCCTTTCAAATAAATAAATGAGTTAAAAAGAAAAATAAAGTCACCAGGCTAGCCGAGATTCAAAGGAGGGTCTGTAGACTCCAGCTCTCCATGAAGGAAGCAGCAGGACATAACCTTAACTAGGAAAGTCTTTTGTTGTGTATCAACAATTGCCCAATTTAATTTGACTAAATCGAGTACAGTAGAAGTACATGGTGGTAGCTCCCTGGCATACAGTTCTCCCAGTGGCCACAATTGTGCTACGTATTTTTCTAATAATAGATGACCTGGAGTTATGGTATTGAGCAAGTTTCTCAAGCTGTGGACACCTTTCCCTTAGCACATTTATTACACCACTTTCCGTTTTACAGCCAGTATATGACTTTGGAAGTTCCTAACTGTTGGGAATCCAGTACTGCTTTAGGAACCAGTGGTGTACAATGCCATGCCATATAGGTTCAAATCCAGATTTTAGTACTTACTCACTGTAAGCCCCTTGGGCATATTATTCAGCCTCTCTTCCTACTCCTTTCTTGTGTATAGGATGAGGGCTGTAAGATCTAACTTCCCAGGTTATTCTGAGCATTGAAGCCAACGCAAGGAGAGTGCTGGCCCTTGGTAGGTGAGACAGTTGAACAGTGCCATGATACTGATGGGGTCAGGTTTCCTGCCTTTCTTCTTAAGTGAGGTAATATGAGGCATGCATTTGGATTCGGTTTCTTCTGTCCTAGGAAAACCGAACAGACCCAAAGCATTGCTTGCTCCTGCCTGAAAGGCTCAGCAGTTATACCATGGGGCATGGCTTTGAGAATTTGTTCAACCTTTAGGGAAGCAACTTAGTAATTATCAGTGAGTCATTAAAAAAAAGTTCATACATTTTTACCCAATAACCAAATTTCCAGAAAATTATCTGAAGGGAATGGATTCAAAAGAAAAGTAAAATTTATACCCATCAAGCTCCTGTTGCCATTTTCTTTGGGGCAGCTGAAATAGAGAAGCATCTTCAATGTCTAATAGCAAGGGGATGGTTAGCTAAATTTTGATGCAAATCAGTATTTGCTGAAATATTAGCCATTGTGAAAATGACCATTATTATCACTATATGGTAGTGTAGAAAATTTAAAAAATAAAATGCCAACAGCTGCCTTCTGCAACACTAGTATCCCATATCAGAGTGTGGGTTCAAGTCCTGGCCAATCCACTTTTTTTTTTCCCAAAGAAACCTTTTATTTAATGAGTACAAATTTCATAAGTACAACTTTAGGAATATAGTGATTCTTCTCACCATACCTGTCTTCCCACCCCCGCTCCCACCCCCACCCCATGTTTTCCTCCCTCTCCCATCCCCAATCCCATTCTCCATTAAGATTCATTTTCAATTAACTTTATATACAGAAGACCAACTCTATAGTAAATAAAGATTTCAACAATTTGCACCCACACACACAAAAAAAACTGAGAACAAGTTTTATAGTTAATTTTCATAATAGAACTCATTGAGGACATAAGTTCTGTATAGGAAGTAAGTGCACAGTGACTCCTGTTGTTAATTTAACAATTAATACTCATATGTATGATGTCAGTGATCACCTGAGGCTCTTGACATGAGCTACCAAGGCTACGGAAGCCTTTTGAATCCACAATCTCTGTCAATATTTGGATAAGGCTATAAGCAAAGTGGAAGTTCTCTCCTCCCTTCAGAGAAAAGTATATTCTTCTTTGATGGCCATTTCTTTCCACTGGGGTCTCTCTCACAGAGATCCTTCATGTAGGATATTTTTTGCCACAGTGTCTTGGCTTTTCATGCCTGAAATGCTCTCATGGGCTTTTCAGCCAGACCAAAATGCCTTAAGGGCTGATTCTGAGGTCAGTGTTATTTAAAGTGATTGTCATTCTATGAGTCTGCTGTGCACTCCTCTTCTGACCCAGCTCCCAGCTGATGTGCCTAGAAAGGCAGTAAAAGATGGCCCAGTGCTTGGACCCCACCAGCCACATGAGAGACCCAGATATAATTCCTGGCATCTGGCTGGCTTGCTCCCAGCCATGGGGGTTATTTGGGGAGTGAACCAGCAAATGGAAGACCTCTCTCTCTCTCTCTCTCTCTCTCTCTCTCTGTGTGTGTGTGTGTCACTCTGCCTTTCAAATAAATAAGATAAATATTTTTTAAAAAAAGAAAGTAAGAAGTAAAATGCCAAGTGACAAATTCAGGATTTAAAAGATTTTTTGCATAAATAAGAATCAGAGATAGACATGGGAAAAGCATTTGTTTGTGTTTGGGAATTGATTTTAATATATATATATGTGTGTGTGTGTGTGTGTGTGTGTATATATATATGCTTTCTTGTCATTTTAAATCAAAATCAGAAACAAATTTAGGCAAGGTCATATTGACAAATCAATTATGAAAAAAAAGAAAAGTGACATAATAAATGCCAGAGAATGCAATGCAGAGCTTTTAAGAATGTACATTCATAAGGTTCTTCCTGGGGATTCTAATTCAGAGGGTCCCTGGTGGGGTAAATCCTCTATTTGGTCATAAGTCTAATAAGTTTGCTGTACACCAGGGTGAGACCCCCTGAGACAGACACTTGTGATTATCCTTCCAAATAATCTGATAAATGCATTGTCTGATCAGCAATAGCAATACAAGCAAAACTCACATAATTAGAATACGTTCCCCTGAATAAAATATGTTCCTGCTTGTGGGGCTTTTACTCTTACATCTACTTAGTTGTACTCTGACAAATTTGTAGCCTTTGTACATAATCCAGAGCACGGTGAGGACAGCTTTTGATAAACACATGTGGTTCTGTACAATATTAAAAAAAAAAACAAAAAACTGTGGCATTAAAGCTGATGGCCTGGAGTTTAGCAGGGAAAGAATTAGAAGCAGACAAAATGTTATTTCTATATTCATCAAAAGCTATGGATGGGAATTACAAGGACAATCTCCTGCTGTGACCAGCTGTGGCTCTTTCTTGAGGACTGGAAGTCCTGGGTAGTCTTATGAGATTTAATATGCATATTTTTCTATCTTTTCTAATGTTGGCATTAACCCATAGGAAATTATTGTTAAAGACTTGAGAGTTGGGCTGCTGTGGCATAGTGGTTAGGTTGTACCTTGGGACATCCACATTCCACATGAGAGCACCTGGTTTGAGTCCTGACTATTCCACTTCCAATACAGCTTCCTGCTAAGTCATACCCTGGGAGACAGCAGATGATGGCTCAAGTACTGGGGTCCCTGTAGGTTGAGTTCCGGGCTTCTGGTTTTGCTCTGGCCTGGCTCTGGCTGTTGTAGGCAGTGGATGGAAAATCAATCTCTGTTTGTGTCTGTCTCTGCCTTTTAAATAAAATGAAACTAAATAATTTTTATAAGTTTTTATAACAACTGTAAGAGTAGAAATGGAAAAATCCAAACTGATCCTTGCTCTACCCAGTTCAGCCTCTGTAGAATATAATGAAAGAAACAGTAGATTCTTTGAGAAAATCCTAGGCTTAACCAATTTTCATGGTAACTTGCTTTATGTTCTTTGTACAAAGCAATTTCTCAGAAGACTGGATTGTAGGTATTGTTTGAAAAGAGGTTCCATGATGAAGGAGGTTTGGAATGCAGGGTCTATCCAAGTTTGAGAGGTTTCTTTGCAGCGTTTCTCAGGGCCTTTGTGAATCTCCATGAAAAGAATGTAGTATGAAGGTTGAGTGTTTGGCCTCATGATTAAAATGCTGGTTAGGATGCCTACATCCTGCATCAGCA